AAATTTTTATTAAAAATTTTTTTATTAAAACACACAAAACACCCCCCCCCCCATTAAATTTTTTTTTTAAATTTAAAAACATTTACCCCCCCCCCCCCCCCCCCCCCCCCTCTCACCTACGTGCCGCCCATATTACTGTCCGCCGACCATGGTTATATTCGGGCGACTAAGGTCGATACCACTAGAAGAGCTCGTAAGATCGTTGGTCCGGTGCAAAGCTGTTACCAGCTTATTCACCAACAGGGTCATAGTAGGTACACCACACCGGCAAGCTTTACCTTTTTGCTTCTATTTCGGCATCTGAGATATAATGAGATCCTGCTTCGCATCGGTATCCGCATCCTTCTCTTCTCCAAGCATATCCAGCTTCGCAGCGAGAATTCTGAAGCACTTCTTGCACGCTTCTGGACTTGTCTTCCTTTTCGCTATGTTGTTGCTTATGAGCATGCTCGCGGCGGACCTCATGTTTGACCTCTAGGCAGTGCTTCGGCTTCAAGTGTTGTAGCACTGTTACCGGCCTTGGAAGAAGAATTTGGACTCGACTCCTTGTTGTGCTTATGAGGTATACATCTCTCAATGAACACCTCCCTAATGCATGATAGAGCAACATGTTCTGGAATGCACATATTTCCCGCTTCATCCTTGAATATGTCGGGTTCCTCCACTCTATATGCATTCTGAATCATGCGAGAAACCAGGGCTTTAATATCTTTAACGTTGCTCCACCCCGGTAAGCTGATCAATATGGAAAGCCCCTTTCTAACATCTTTGGACGAGGACCATGTTGACTTCATTCCATTCGCCTGTAATTCCGTCTCAAGAATGGCCAAGGAGTCTAAAAGCCCGAGATTCTTGAATGTAAGCTTCTTCGGGAACAATCTCTCAAGATCCGGCCGATCGCGCATGAGCTGGTTTATTTTGTCGCCTTGCCCTATTAGAACTATTACCATACCACCGTGGTACTGGGGAATGAGAGAAACAAGTTCGTCGATTGCTTCATTGTTGTATCCGCAATCCTTTAGTCGGTGAAAATCGTGCACGATGAGCACCTTCCCAAGGCCTTTTAAAAATTGGGCGCGAGTCTTTGGGGCCGTGTGACCAACGTGTTGGCCGACCAGGTCTGCTGCCCAGCATTCGATGACCGTGTCGTGCAGGAGGAATCCCATGTCATAGAACATTTTACCCAGGTATCTTGCTAAAGTAGATTTCCCAGTGCCTACATCCTCGTTAGCTAGTCTATTCCACGTGTGTGATTGCGTTGTTTTGGTTATACTGACCTGTGGGGCCTTTGAGAATGAAGCTGGTAGGAATATGATCAAATGGATCCTTAATCCCGCTCCGTAGTATTCTTCCATATACCTCTAGTTCTTGGATAATCTCATTCGAGACCTTGCCCTCTAAGTCCACCCTGATATTGAAACTTGAAATGTTTCTACGGTTGAAAGTGGGATCGAAGTCTTCTGGGTGAAGAACACCGCTGGAGGCTGATTTTATGCCTCCTCGCCTGGCGTGGTACCTAGAAATTGCTACCGAAATCAAATTGCTCACTTCCCTTCCGTTGCTGAAATATCGATTTTTTTTTTGATCTTGATAGGACACCCATAGCTGCCTCTTTTGCATTATCTGCAAATGTAAGATCATGTTCTTTTATGTATCGCTGCAGCATCATATCGAGTTCTTCAATTCTGTAATCAGTGAAACGAAACGGCCTGTCGGCCATGAATCTTCCAGTCAATCCTTCGTTGGCATTCTGGAACATCCTGTTGATTTTGTCTTCATAGCCAAGGAGAATTACGCAACGATCATCGCCCGGAACGCCTTGTATCTCCGCAACCAGTGTATCGAGAATCGCCGTCTTGAACGACTCCTGTGTGCCTGCTGGGTCCCCGGGGTCAAGCATGCAGGCTTCGTCGATGATGAGAACTTTGCCAAGTGTCGATGCCAAGATGGCCTTACTGTTCGCTTCGGATTCTCCAACTGCCCTGCCAATAAAGTCGACTGGCTTCTTGATCACAACTGTGAAAAATGTTAGCCTATCGTAATAGGTACTTATTGGATTTCAGGAATAAAAAAAACCAAATATATACATACCATCTCCGTTGCTTAGAAATCCCAAGTCGACTAGAATTTTACCGTACAGCTTAGCCACAGTTGTCTTCCCAGTTCCTGGTGAACCAACAAAGATTCGATTAAGGGGGACGTCAAACGGTTTCTTGCCGTCTAGTTCCCGATAATAGTTTTCTTGAACCATCGCAAACATGTTCTCAACTGAGCTTTTAACCTCTTCTAGGCCGACGAGCGCCTGGAGTCTGACCCAGGCATCGCTTCTGTCTTTCACGCTTGAAGGCGGCGGCCCAATTATATCTTCTTTTGTTAAAAAGAACAACTGGTCCGTTGATATGGATCCAGCTCCGCGAAGCCTTTGCACGTAGCGTTTCTTGATCGTAGAAAGAAGAGTCTCAACGGCACGTGCGTTACCGAACCCTTGCTTGCCCCGACCACGAGAGAGTCGGTAAATAGCTGCTTTCATGTAGATACCATCTGTGCCACATTCGATTTTCATCTTGCTATCATAACTCTCTTTTATTAGGCGCACGAGGATTTCCCGGAGCTGGGTGTCGTTGAAGTCATCAAAATCCATGTAGTACTGAATTCGACTCTGTAGCCCTGCGTTGTGTGCAAGGAATAGCTCAAGCTCGCTCTTATATCCAGCGAAGATAACAACCCAACTTCCAGAGCTATTCTCCATCTCCGTTAGGATAACATCGAGTATCTGCTTCCCAGAACTACCTGCATGGGGGGCAACGAGTTGAAATGCTTCATCGACAAACAAGACGCCTCCAGACTTCCTTCTATTCCTGCGTCTCGATGGTGCCACGGAACCATTATCGCTTGAGTCGGACGGTTCGGAAGAGCTATTACTGGTCCTCAAGCCGAAAATTTGCATGATATTTGACGGTCCCATTGAGGCTAACTTCGTACCAGAAGTCTCAATGAACCTCCTGGATGTCACTATTCCCATTGAATATAGGAATTTGGCGTAAAGCCTAGCTACTGTGGTTTTGCCTGTATTAGGACATTAGTAACGGCTTGAATGATTCGGTACTTGGTATAATTAAATGACTGACCTGTTCCTGGATTTCCCTGGAAGATAGCATGGAACTGTCCCTGCTTCATGTTGACTCCTAGACGCCTGTTCAAAGCAATTTCGTCCTCTATAGCCTTGAAGTTGTCTTTCACGGTGTCTAGTCCAATCAACCCCATAAGTTGACCTATCACCTTGTCTTTCAAGCGTTGTTCCTTCGTTCTTCCAACTTTTGCGGGCTCATCTTCATTATCATCAGGTAGATCACTAGCTGATGAAGGATCTGCTATGAAGCTGCTGTTCAATAAAGGATTTTCTGAGGAGTCGCCATCTGATGAAGTGCCAGAAGGCTTAAGTGAGCTATCGTCATGGCGTGCCTCATCTGGTCCCTCCAAAGGATATCGATAGTGGGCTGGATGTGCTTGCGGCGCATGCGACTCGGGAGGAGTTAGCTGTGTGGTGTTAGAGTCAGCTGAATCTGAGTTAGGAGGTGGTTCTAAATTCAAGGTTGGTATTGTAATAGACATTCTGGGCTGCTTTGGTAAGGGTGCTCGCGAAGTGATAATCTTCTGGGGGACTGTCTGGCTTGGATAAGATAGATGGTTTTTAAGTACTCGCCAGAAGGTAGTGAGATAGTTACTTCGCGTGTCCACCTGGAGAATCCAGTCTAAACATAACGCGAAGAATCAGAAGGCTTCACCAGCTCGGTATCTGCGCCTCAACCTTCAAAGCCCGACAAGCAAGAATCATTGGTGCTCATCATTTGCCATTCATATTCATGCAGGTATCATGCGCACCGCCTCTAATAAACAACCAAAAGCCCGATGTATATACTAAGATGGGGTTGGTTGAGGTTCCCAACTTAAACAGTTTGCCACTTCGCGGAAACCCGATTAACACTTGCTATGCGTGTCCTAAATAGAGTGGCTTTACACCTCCCGCAGCATCTCTTGGTTTCGATGCTGGTGACAATGATGGCTAGAAAGGTAGGCTTAGCTGAATATATTGAGCAGAGCCTTCTCACGTGTCGCGTTATGATTGGATTGATCCGAAAAGTGAAGCGGCAACCTAGCCGGCGCGAAGATGCGAAGCTCATGCAGTAAGGCTTAGCAAATATGTCGTTTATTAGGGAATCTACCAATATTACTGTCCCATCACTTCGTGGCAGAGCCTCACAATGGGTATCGGTCATCTACCTGAGTTATATCGGCATTTTTCCAGTTGGCTAGGATATCCCGAGACATTTCCTCTTTCAAGCCACCAATGTAACTGTTCGGCTGGTTGGGGGACTAATACAAGGAGTAACTCAATACAAGTACCTGCAGTATGGAAGCTCCAACGAATAATATACGAATAATATACCTAATATGATAAATGCACCCTCATCCCCTTCAATACCTGTTTACATAGCCACTGCGAAGAGACTGTATATAAGTAAAACACATTTTTTATTTGAAAGGTAGGCAACCTAGGTACTGTAAAGATTCACGTCTGATAGATGATGTAACACGTCATGTGCCCTACTACGTATATCTGAATGAGTCCGAACTGCCTACATCCATCTTTACTATATCTTTTGACTTTACTATATCTTTTGAACCACAATTACTCTGTTCAACCTTTTGCTTATACCCTGCTACCTCCTCCAATATCGGCCCATCATATTGCATCCTTTGTCATAGAAGCGGATCCTCACCCTCAATATAGTCGTTACAATGGCCGACGGACCAAGCTGGATCTCAGCTGTATGCTCAATCCTTGCGGTATTTCTAGGCCTAATCACCCTTGTGACGGTATTTGTTGCCGCTCGACAGCTTCTTACAGAACACCGTATCTACGAACTAGGGCTCTCAGCACAATCTTTAGGGCCGTGGCACACTAAGGTGAACAGAAAGCAGCTACTTGGAATGCAGCAGCAGATAGTTACACCTACACTTAGTATACCCAGTCTGTTGAAAAGCGATTGGCAGCCGCATTTCAGGTTTCCAATCGGGTTCTCCCATGAATCTACCCAGCCCGGTTGTGACCCAGAAATGGCTCCCGTGGAAGCCACCTGGGTCAACTTTGTCCAAGCACTAGGGATATCTCCTGAACACGATCAGTTCTACAATATGACGTTCCAGCCAAATTTGGTGAATGGGATCATTCCTATGCGTTGGGCTGGGAAGACACTCGTCGCGTTATGTGTAATGCTTGGGTTTCAGTCATTTGAGGACAAGCCCAGCTTCAAAGACCCATTTCCCCTTCCTATGCAGTGGAGTGGACCCTTGGGCTGGCTACAGTTCCGCCAGGGTCCAAATGGTTGCATCGCGGAGTTCCGTCCGAGGACTATGATTGCAGATCAGTTATCCTCAGAAGTCCGGAAGTTCTACAAGACAATAAAACATGCTAATCGACCTAGCCTCCTGAAAACACGGCTCTGGAGATCGATTAGAGGCATGTGTTTACCAGATGGCAAAGTCCTTTATCTAGGCGGCGCCGATAGGAGCAATGGAGATGCCGAGAAGGAGAAGTTGAAGGAGAAGTTCAAAGAAATGAAAGAAAATCTGGAAGAGCTGGAAGAACTCGCCTCGAAAGTTTTAAGCAATCAAGAATATGAAGAATTGGACTATCATGGAAAAACTGCAGGTTTCTTTGATGAGCTCATGCAACACGATCTTTCGGATGCAGAAATCACACAACTTTTACGAAGTGGGAAGCTGGAGATACGTGAGCCCGCTTCTACTACGATAGAGAAACCTTCGGAATTCCGTGATAGTCTACTAGAGAACAAACGGGGCCAAAAGGAAGTCCTTAGGCCATGCCCAGGTCTATTCTCAGTCATTATAGAATGTGAGCTAGCAGATACCCGGGGCTTAAGTACGGAGGATTGTATTGAGTACCATCGGGAGTATATTGACTACGACGAAATAGATCATGGGAAATTTCGATACTCACTAGGAGATCTATTTATGGACGATGTTCTATTGCTTTTAATGAAAAAGGCAATGGAAATGCTTAAACCGGACGGATATTACTTTACCCCTGTCATATTTCACTACATGGATATTTTTCAAGTCTACCATCATGTTGAGGCTACATCTGACGAACCTAATCGGACCCAGATTTTTCAGTTTCCTGAACTGGGGAAATGGCCATCATCCGTCCAGGACCGAGAGACACTATATTACTCCATGCTGCTCTGCAACGAGTTCCAGCATATTCGAAAGCACAACAGGGCAATATTCACAATAGAGGACATGATTGCCATTTCGAAGGCATCGGATCTGCTGACCGAAATTATTGGTAACGCATCAGACTTGCGCTGGGCAATGTTGGCGTGCCCAAAGTTGTTTTGCGACCTCGCCAATGTTTTCGAACATACAGAAACTATGGATTTTCTGAATCGAAAAGTCAGCTGCAAGGCAGAGAGTTTAGACCTTACTGACGTAAATGAAGCCTGTGGGTGTCCAACTGATAGTTGCGTTTATGTAGTTCCTTTGTGTTCCGACGGGAAATTTGATGGAACCCAATTATTGGCTGCTTTCATGGATACGCTCATAACGTATTTCTGGATTGAGAAGAAGTGGATTAGCGACGTTGGGCTATACGACATGACTATCCCGCAAACGATAATAATGTGCTAATCGAGTCCATCTCTACCGTGTCTAGATTCAGCTATGGAAGGGTTGGCTCTACGCTGCATGCCGCTACATTTCGCCTACTAGGTACCTCCTATCTATTCAATCTCTTTTGTTGGGCACCTCCATGGTACCCAGCACACCTTATTGCTTTCGAGGAACTATCTGCCTGCCCATGAGAATATGTATTTCATTTATTAGGACCATTACGCGGGCTGGAAACCTTTTCCTTTCAGATACATACTTGTTAGATTAAGCTTCGTACACGGACATTGAAAAGATTATCTATAAATAGAGCTTATACCAACCAGTTTATTATTCAAATCGCAGTTGTGCAATGAAAAGTATAGGTTAGTCTCCAGTAATGGACATATAAACAGATACAGCAACTATCCTTTATTCAGACACCAGGTAGATTTATACGTAAGAATTTGATAGGACGTACTATGGAAGCCATCTGCACAAACGAGGGATTAAATTTCCGATATTTCATTGCGAAAGAATCGAAGGACTTGACTATTGTACATCAAAAAGATAGGCTGGGTACCGCCTAGCGCCACTTCGGTGCCTTCCCCCTTTTATAGCCATGTATTGCTACGTTATGAGACCATGTAAATCTGCACTTGCTATTTGCTACCTAACGTACATGCATTCCACATACTACATAATTCATCGCCAATATTATGCACGTTGTGATGCTACGGCCTATATGTAAGCGATTCAACGGAGGTAGTCGGCCGCCCTGCGCCCCCTCGACCCGGAGTGTGGCAACGGTTAGGAAGTGAAATTACGGTCTGCGGGTTTGGGAGCGACTCTACAGCGAATCAAAGCGAACGACCAAAGGACTACGACAAAAGTAATTTTTTTTTAAACTATTAGATACAATAGGAGATTACTCACTTCCTCACGATCGACACCTGTGGTTATGCTAGCTATTATATCCGCTATCTTCTAGTTGCATCTATGCGTCAGTAACGCCGCCCTATCTTGAATATAGTACCGTGTTTGGCGACCCCACGTTGTTCACAGCCTACCTCTAAGGGAAATCCACCCTCGTATTGCCCGAATACCTACTTTCAAACCACTACTCTATAGGAGGTACCTAGCTAGATGTGGCGCAACGTGACGTCGGAACGTGTAATGCTATAATAGGGGTTTAGACACTTACTCTATTTTATGTCTCTTCCAATTACCCACGTATTGACATAAGTCATTCACGCGGCCAGAAATACATCTTCTAACAATGTTCTGACTAAGACATTTTCTAGCTCCAATCGTATAGCTGTATCTAAGGAAGTATATTCTTCGATATAAATACTTTTAATTGTGCCTTTCATAGGAGGATTGTAGTGGACGCCAGCGTTGTGGCTGTCTAGATACTTTATGGCGACCTCTAGGGACTTTATCACGAACTGAAAATTGAGGATCTAAGAACCTTAAAATTATAGTTGAAGGTAAAACTTGCTTAGAAGCTCTTCTCAGGTCTGATAAAAAGGTGGTCACAATAAATTATCAGGTCATGCACAGCGACTGTACCTCATCGTAGCTTATAACGACATTATTGAGAATCTAGATAAAATAGCTAGAACAAGGGATAATCTCACTAGGTATAACTACCGGATTCTAGTTCCATGTAGAATAGAAAAGGTGTTTCCACGCCATCTAACGTAAACCATAACCCAATGCCGAGCCCCGAATCGGATCAAATGTTGCACTAAGAGAGTATTGCCACCTTAGGTATCTTGATCTAAGGGAGAAGTATGATAGGTTTTGATAACTGACATGTGTGTTACATTGGGGCAATGGCACGCTTATGCATATGTGAGACTCAGCCGTACGTGGACAGCGGGCGATATGCCGACCTCGCACATCGTAAAATACCTAACCTATTGTCACGAGGTGGAACCAAACAGCGTGGAAACAACTTCGTTGTTCCGCGAGGAACTCTAACCTATCTGGCGAGCCCACTGCTCGTATATACATACATGTTCTTTATCCTAGATGTCTCATCTAGAATCCTGACACCTATAAGACTCGTAGTATTCCACGGATATTCAAGTAGCCACCCAAATAGCCTACCGTTCAGCCCAAGCTCGTCTGCGCGGACAAGCTTATTCACATAGCTTACCTAACCTATTCAAGTCTGCTAGGTACCTAAGGTAGGTATTCAGCCTATTTTATTGGTGTGCTAGGTTTCCATTGATGCCCAAGGCGCAAATTCCAACTACAGGTTGATGAAAGATCAATATTTCCCTAACAGGTAATTATATTTGCACTCCCCCTTGGGGCTATATCTTGGGAAGTACATTATGCGCACGGATCTTGACCGTAACTGACAGTAACAACCCCTGATAGCTGATCTGTGATATTGATGTACACTGAATGAGCTTGTCCCCGGAAGCTTCCAAACCCCCAGATGATCTCACTGGACTGTTCGCCTGGCCGATAGTCTATAAAATCGGTATCGAAACGAACACCCCACCGTTCTATAAAGATCCGAGTTAAATTCTCTGGTGTCACAATCTTTGGGCTTCCCTTGATGACAAGAACTCGGGAAAGATGGTAGATTAGAAAGGGTTTGGCGCGAATTCGATGCCGACCAACCTTGGTGCGCCAGCCTTTGACGCTGAAGGGATGCTGAGACTGTAGGAGTAGGAACCTGTTGCTGGCATTTGCGGTAAAGAATGTCAACGAGGCTGCTGACGTGGGAAATAATTTTCCTGTTTTTTCATTGTGCACGGGTGGATTAATATGTAACGAGTAGACGCGTCCAATGCCTCGGATTGCTCCCAGTACATCCGAAATGGTGCATTTTGGCGGCAACCCCGTGATCCATAACCGGCAGTTCTCGTCTTCAGGGACATCCGCGCTCATGTTGTGAGGCAGGGAGCTGTTTCCAAGATAACCCGGCGCCGTAGGAGGTTGATTCCGGACTACCGAAACACTTGTATCCTCTGAGTGCAAGTTGTGGCTTGACTTATTCTTCGGAATACTAGGGGGTGGCAAGACAGACTCGTCCGTATGCTGGTGCTCATGATGATAAATACTGACGGCTTGCTTAGGATGCGTTTCTGGAACCCCGGGTACTCCGCTGCTTATCAAGTTATTGCAAGGTCCTAAACCTAGCTGCTGACGGTAAGAATCTAAGACTTCACGTGAATGAGTACTGCAGAAGGCTGCTTGGATGACAACTCCTGGTTAATGTTAATTAAGCATATCTAATGAGGAGATCTGAGAGATTATTATGGCTTACCACCTTCCTCATTGGCTGTATCCGCCATTCTGATGGGCAGGATAGGTAGAATTAAGGATAATCTGGCATCGAAAGTACTTCATTTTAGATCTAGAGGACGAGTTCACCCGGGATGAGGTCAGTATTTATAAAAGAAATTACTCTATATCCGGTAGAGACGACAGCTGGAAATCATGGATTTCAAAGAGTCAAGTTGTAGTGAATATACTGGGACGTTCATGACGCATAAAATATTACTGCTGAATATGATTATGTGAAGTCCTCGTCAACTACGTCGTAGGCTTTTATGTGCATGATTCGTTCGTATTACCAATCACGAAGAAACGATATGTACCTACCTAGGTACCTAGGTATGTATCTGTGAATATCTCAAGGGGACGTGACGAAATAGTATCAAGATAGCTCCAATAGTTGCATGGTCTGAATCCGATTTATGTTAACTTGTGTAGCCTATTAATCACACGACTTCTAATATCTTCATGGTGAATGAAAAGGTTTCCTAAAAGAAACCCCTATTACCTAATATAGGAACATCCCAGTTGTTCAAAAGTTCCGTCGAAATACGCGTAACATTTGGTTACATACTTTAAACATCCTTATCCTCCACCTTCTCATATGACGGTAGTTTTCTAAGGTATGATTCTGGGAACATTAATTTAAGTCCAACTCTGTATCTAAACTATATAAATTAGCTTATTATTCTCTCTTAAATAGTCTTCTAATATTAATTTGTCCTTTTTTCCCGGAAGAACTTACACTCCTATCTTGTTTTCTTACACCTTTTAAAGAGGCGCTAGTTTAACTTAATACCTCATAAAATCATTCATTTCATATGGAGGCTTAATACTAACAATTAAAAATCAATCTAGATATAGAGTTGGCACGCTTTTCAAACAAGGATTGGATAACAACTAACGGTATCCGGATGTCTTGTTTAATTCTACACTTTAAGTCGGAAGTCGCTAGATGAAGGTAGTCACATACTTTTCCCTTTTTAAATTTGATCTTCTAATAAGTTCCAAATGTTTTATATCACCGTTTGCAAAGAACTTTAGTCTGGATGTAATGTTTCTTCACCTAAATCGGCACCGCAATCAACTGACGGTAGCTTCACCCTGCTATCTGTTTACGGCATCTATAAGTCCTAGGAGTAGATGTACTCTAGACGTTAGAAAAATTATTTACTATATTTACCTAATCAGCGCAACACTTGCCTCATATGACTAAATGTAGGTCGTTATACGTTCACATCTTGGGGAGACAGGGCAGGTATGCTGTAGTGGAGTAATGCAGTCCATAGATCTGCGTACCTAACCAACCAATGATACATGGAAAGTATATTATGGCTACCCTATGACCCTGTCTTCGAGGGGAAGGAACCCGTGAAATAGAAAAACCCCAAGTACCTACCTAGGCAGTATGACCAGGGTCTATCAGCTCGGGTTGCAGTACGATCCTTTGCCAAGAAGTCGACAGCAGATCAATGTCCACGTAGAAATGCCGCTATACGCATGTCAATATTCATATTTGGACCTCAGCTACTTTAAATTCTGATGCTTTTAAAAAAACAAAAGTAGGATACCTTATTGTTGTGTTGGTATTGACCTGATATTGCCATAATGTTACACCCTTCTCTGTGAGATGCATTGCAGGCGATCTCTAGCAAGCCTCCCATATCTCCTATGTGTGTTCTGATCAAGTTCTGAAAACGAATTATGGCACAAGTCTATTAAAACGTATAAGAACATATATCGGAAGTCGTAGGAGGTTGGGAGAATAAGGCTCTGATCTGCTTCGGTACTTGAACAGAGCCTACAGGAGAAGGTGGATATAACCTTAACTAATGGTAGTGAATAGCCAATAATGCTATAGCCACACTTCCTGGTATGTAAGCTATGCGACGCATGTCTTCTTTCGTATCCTAACCCCAGTCCGGCCAATCATCCCGGCGACACTTGTACCAGTTATATGTTTATGCACGGCCTCCAATCATAGGGGCATATTGAATCTAGGACTTGTAGCTAGCTACACGGGTAGTTGACTATAAGTAGGTTCTCCACTTGGTAAGTAGGCTATTGTTTAGTAGACAGTGAAATATCATAATTTGAGGGTTACTACATCTTGAAAGGGCGTAATAGTACTCTAGTGATACCATGTCTTCCGATACAGTGAGTAAAACATCTCAACTTTAGGCAAGTCAAGCCTATCGTCAAGCATCACAGTCAAGTTACCGAGGACTTGATCGTTCGAAACTATGCTAATACAGATTCAGGTTGATTTGAAGCAAGAGTCTCAAGAGGCCCAGGTGGCCCAGGAGGTATCCCAGGATACCAAGGAAGAGCCTCAGGATGCAAAGCAGGAGCCACAAGAAAATAATGAAGGACATAAAGAGATGACGTGCGAACTCGCACTTCTAGATAAGAAGTACGACAAAGACGGCCATAGAGTATACAGCAAACGTAGCCCTAGGAAGGAGAGTGGTAAACCAGACTGGTGGAAGCTATACGCTCTCACAGAGACGCGCCATTTCAAAGAGAATGGGACATTCAAATGCACACGGTTGCATGTGAACCCGCAACCTTTGAAGAAACTTCTTGAAGATGTTATCGTCGGGTTTCCTTATGACCCCGTTGATGCTCAGCAGGACGTCCAGTTTGACCTGCCGGCGTATTGTCTCTTCTTCTATCGAAAGCAGCTAGAAGAAGTAGGGACAGAACGGTTTAAGGACGACGAGACTTCTCGCAAACACCTCAAGCTCCTCCTAGATTGGATCGACAAGGTCCACGAAGAGGCTTTCAAGGCCTCCCAACGCTTCGAATCCAGCGACCAGAGGCCGATCAGTTACGAGTATCTCTGGACGATATTCAATCCCGGCTGCCTCTTATACACTCGTGTCCAAGGCCAGCCGCGTGCATTTAAACTACGCGGTTTCTGGTACGAGACCGACGACGAGCCCTGCCTAGCTATCTGATTCAGATACGTCGACTACGACGGCGAGAAATTCGGCACGCGCTCGGACACGTTCCGCATCCCCAAGTACTCAGGTGTCATGCGCTGCGAAGATCTCAACATAATGCCCCTTGACTTCCATCCTTCATCTTCCGAATTCCGCACCCGCCTACTAGAGCGAGGCCGCCAGTTCCAGAAATTGGCCGGCCAACACTTCATGCAGTATAGCGGAGTGGCCCTCAAGCTCAACAGCGAAAAATACGACCGACATAATCTCTCCGGCCGCGTCGTGATCGACTGTAAAAACTACCGACACTTCGAGCCGAGCAACGACTTCGAGCTGGACGACCTTCCGCGAACCGAAGCGGCGAAGCGCCAGCGTACCCTGCGCAGATATAACGACGGCGTTGACGGCGCCAACGGGGAAGTCCTCGACGATCTTCTCGATGAGGATCTGATTGTGACCAACGCAACCGTGCGCGGCTTCGCGTTCTCGGTCAAGACGTTCCTCGAGTTCTTCGTGGAAAACCTCTCCCCGATCAAATGGGATGAAACCTACTTTGATCAGCTGGTTCTGAACCCCGCCACTAAGAGAATAGTCCAGGCCATGGTATCCATGCATACGCAACGAGGCCAGACCAGCGCGGGAGTTGACGATATCGTCGAGGGCAAAGGAAAGGGGCTTGTATTAGTCCTTCACGGCCCACCGGGAGTTGGGAAGACTCTGACGGCCGAATGCGTGGCAGAATCAGTGCATCGACCACTTTACATGGTATCTGCTGGCGACTTGGGAACTGACAGCTATTCGCTCGAGACGACGCTAGGGCGCATTATGGACATTGCGACGACATGGGGTGCGGTTTTATTAATCGACGAGGCCGATATTTTCCTAGAGCGCCGAAGCTTGCACGACTTGCAGCGCAATGCCATGGTTACGATCTTCTTACGAGTCCTCGAGTGTAAGTGGGCACTAGCTGCTGCTTTCCTTTCCCCTGATCTCTAACCATATCCTTTCATTGTATGTATAGGTACTGACCCAGATATCTAGACTACCGCGGAATCCTCTTCCTCACAACCAACCGCGTTTCCACTTTCGATGACGCCTTCACGAGCCGTATCCATGTCCCCCTCCGTTATTCAAAGTTGAGCGAGGACTCACGCTTGACTATCTGGCGCAACTTCTGCAATCGCGTTCCAGGAGGCGTGGATATCACGGACAAGGAAATGAGTCTCTTGGCTAAGCACGAACTCAACGGTCGCCAGATCAAGAACATCGTCAAAGCTGCCGAGAGTCTTGCTGCGTTTGAGGGTCGCAGGCTTAATGCCGCTCAACTGGAGTCATTCACTGAAGTCCAAGGAGAGTTTGAGAGGGACTGGTTGCAGTTTGTTGATGTCGCTGAGTAAATAAGCGTGGATATGTGTTGTGTTGTTCTTACATAGTATAAGGGGTGGGAACGGCGAGGTTATGACACGACGTATCGTCTGATTGTCGTCTATAGCTTTAGTTTGGGACTACATTTTATATAGAATCACGGCCCGGAGCTTATGCTCCAGTGAAGCGAAACTATTATACTCCCATAGGATCATTAGGTAGTTCGGGGTTAGCGCCATTAATTTCGAAGTCATGTTATAATTAGGATAGTATACTATTGTGAGATAAACTAAGATCGTGCTAAAGAGAATTTCAAAGTGATGACCTATTATAAGAATAAGATAATATCTGTAGCATTGCAATCAGGAATTGCCGTATCTATGTTGGTCTAAGCCATCATCGCCTATAACCCAAGGCGCAAGATCCACTCACGATCTTCCGCTTACACATGCCATGACGATGTAACTTGGGCTATATTAGTTGCCAGGGAATCTAAACAGCCAGGATCTAATTAAACGTTCAATTAAGCTCCGGGGCATTTATTAAAACACTACCTAGCTAGGGCAATCTCGTCAAATCAACGCGCTGATAATAACGCTGAATCATCGTCGACCATCCAGCCGTCACAGTGACGTAACCATAAGGGGTCCATCTCACGATAGTACGGTAAGGATAAGAATATGCTGTGTTGCAGCGCCAATGCTCTAGGCTATAGATTTTATGTCGAACAGTAGAGCCGTCTGACATGTCTACGTGTCTTCTTGCGTGAGTATGACGTCTATGAGGCGAGTGGTGACCGCATCTCCCCAGCACTCGCGCCCTCTTAGCAATATCATCTACTCGCCCTCACGTATAAACGTTAGTTACGGCATACGGAGTCTCAGAGTAACTACATCGCTAAAGGCCAGAGTACAGCGCATAGTTTAGGGTCAAAGAGTTCGCTACAACCGTTTTCTACTTCTTCAGTACGCAACATGGCTAAACCAGAAGTCAACGACCTCGAGCAGTTTGTGCGTACGTCGGGAATCAAAAACCCTGTCTGGATACACGGGGACCCTTTCTCTAAGAGACACCGATTCAACCCTCTGTCCAAGGATATTGAGACAGATGTATGCATAATTGGCGCCGGCATAACCGGCATCTCCATCGCGTACGAACTCATTACTCGGGGCAGAGAAGTTGTCCTCGTAGAAGCCCGAGATGTTCTTTCTGGGGAAACCGGCCGGACAAGCGGGCACTTATCTAATGCGTTAGACGACATGTACCCGGAGATTGCCAAAAAGCACGGCGAAGATGGGGCGAAAGCCGCAGCAGAAAGCCACACTTGGGCATTAAACCGAGTCGGTGAAATCGCCAAGGAGTTAGGTATTGATTGTGAATACCGTCACTTGCCCGGGTACCGCGTATCAAAATACCAGAAAGGCACTGAGGAGCACAACAAAGACATAGATACGATCAAAGAAGACGTCGAAATGGCGAAGAAACTTGGGATTGACGCTACATTCGACGAGAATTTGACTGTCAAGGGCTGGAATGGCAAACCCGATCAACGAGGAGGCGCAATTTTTGCCAAACAGGCTGCTTTCCATCCGACTAAGTACCTCAACGGAGTATTAAAGTGGCTTAAGGAACAGCCCAAGTTCCAATGCTATACTTCGACACGGGTTTTATCCGTAAAGGAGAAAGGCATTGAGGTGCTTGGTCTAGGAAACAAGTACGTCCAGGTAGAGACAGAGGCCGGTAACACGATAAGCTGCGAGCATGCCGTCGAGGCGACGGACGTGCCGCTGCAGAAGCTTAGCGTAATCGCGCAGATGAAGTGGGACAGAACATATTGCATCGCGCTGCGCGTGCCTAAGGGCAGCGTCGATGACATCTTACTATATGATACAGATGATCCATACAAGTACATCCGGCTAACCCCCTGCGACGAAAACGACGACTACATGATCGTCGGAGGTGAAGACCATAAGGTTGGTCAAGAGGACTCCAGAGGGCACTTTGAGGCGCTAGAGCAATGGGCGCGGGAACGCTTTCCACAAGCCAAGTCCGTCGAGTATCTGTGGAGCGGACAGATCTTCGAGCCTGTAGATTACATGGCTTATATCGGGAAGAACCAGGGCAGCAACCGTATCTACGTGGTGACGGGCGACTCCGGCAACGGGCTGACACACGGCGTACTAGCCAGCAAGCTGATCGCGGACGAAATCGAGGACACGCCTAACACCTGGAGTAGTTTATACTCGCCGAAGCGTGTCGGCAGCGTCGTTAAATCAGCCCCAACCATGATCCAGAACGACCTACAAGCCAACGCGCAGTACAAACGACTCCTTCAATCTGATATACAAGATATCGAAGACCTAAAGCCGGGGTGTGGCGGCGTTCTAAATTCCACGGCGTCAAAGCCAATCGCTGTGTATAAGGACGAGAACGGCAATATAACCAAGATGAGCGCGTTATGTCCACACATGGGGGGTGTAGTGTGTTGGAATAGCGTTGAAAAGTCGTGGGATTGCCCAGTGCATGGTAGCCGCTTTGGTGAGAAAGGCTTGTCGATCCAAGGTCCTGCCAAGATAAATCTTGGTAAAGCATAAAGAAGCAAGCTACCTTGGGTACCTACCTAGGTACATAGCTGAGCAGTGAAATTATCCTTTCTTCAAGTTTATCAGGCGCTGAGGGATTTTGGTGGGAACTACAATAATAATAGAGCATTAATACTGACTGAATATTTTCTCTATGTAAGATACGCTTTTATGTTTTCTCGCTGTGACTCGGTCACGAGATTCGCAGGTCTCGAGAAGGTTGATAACTCGTAGCTCGTACTCTAAACCCTCATTATCCTGTATAAACCCTGTCAAACCGGGAGTCCGAACGATAACAAACCGGGTCTTTCCACGCGTGTTATTCGAAAGGATTCGTGATAGGTCTAATCATCTTCTTCTCAATTGTATATGCCTTCCGAGTCCTCGGAATCGTCTTCCACATCCTCATCATCATCCTCATCATCCTCATCGTCTTCCATATCCTCGTCATCGTCTTCCTCATCTCCATTTTCCTCGCCATCTGGGTCTTCAAGGCCATAATCGCCTTGGAAATCCGATAACTGTTTCACTTCGGTTTTGTATCCCATGGTTTTAAAGTCTTTCTCGAGTTGCTATAAAATGTTAGTTATGTGGAAAATCCCCGTGAAGAATAAAATAACTTACCTCCACCATTGCGTGTGCGCAGCAGACCACCACGTTACTCTTCCCAGGTTCAAACAGAGGTAATAGCCATGTCTTCATAGCATGCTTAATCTCTTCAACCGATATCTTTCTTACTTTCGCAAGCATCTTGATGTTATAATCGGGTTCAAGCCCCCTTACAGCACCGACTATGAATTTCTGTACTGCCGCGGTAGCCAAAGTAGCCTGTTCCTCCGCCATGACCATCACCAACTGGCTGATCGCACCCTCGATCATAGGCTTCTCAAACTCGACAGTGCCATCCACTAACGCCGTAATAGCATCACGGGCGGCAGAAATCGCCTTTGATGCTAGGGGGGACCTATATACCTTAAAATGCAGGTATCCTCCGTCTAGCTCCTTTGCAAAGTAGGCACCGTAGGCTAAGCCGTTCCCGCGAACGGCATTCCATAGTGTCCCCTCCACAGTTTCTAGATATTGCATGGCAACTAGAAGTGCAGGAACCACCGGGTCGGAGAATGAGGTAAGGCCTTTGCTAGAGGAGATAGAGTAAGAGCTATCAATTGCCCTCATAGGGACAATCGTTGCCCCAACAGAACCAGGGTTGCGACCTTCGCTATTTAGAAGGGTGTGAGGCTTAGTGATGGGGTTGATGGACTCTACATGAGCATTGAGTGAGTTGAATAGTGTATCCCAAGCTTTAACGGGGTTAGACAGCTTCGAGTTTGATATATCAGCTATGACCAGAATTCGAAGGTTATCAGAAGTGGATAGAGACTTTCTAAGTTCCTCGAACTTTGATATCACCGCTTCGGGGTCCTTGTCATAGAGCTTCTTAAGTCGACGGAGATATACAGTCTTAACAAGGGTGCGTTTCGCCACAAGTAGGGATGAAGCCTCGTTGTGAATAGCCATTTCTACTTCATTAGTCATAACTCTACCATCCCGTTTCGCCTCGGGGATGTCGGCAAGCTGCTTGGCAATGCAGGCCTTCAAACGAGTGAGATCGAAAATGCTGTCAAACATCATCGTACGGATCCACTCGATAGCAGTGGCATATTTTTCTGGCTCGACTTGCAATCGAATCAGGAAGCTTTCTGAATCGCTGAATTTACTGCCCGAATCCAAGGCATAGCTAACCGTATCTCTTTCCAACTCCATCACCACCTTCTCGAATGGGACGCGCTCACCATTACGACGAATAGGGGTGTTGAAGAAGTTATCGCTGAAGAGTGACAATAAAGGCTTGTAGGCGGCAGGTAAAATAGAAGTGCCAACGTGGACCGAGATATGTACGAAGTTGGTCGGAACATCTTCGAATTGTATGAATAGGGGTAACTCAGACGAGGCCTGGTCGATGATCTTTTGCGCGGAATTTTCGTGGACACCAAGTTTCCTAGCCATGCCGGATCGTGCAGTCTGGGATTCGATGAAGTGAATTGATTCTATCGGAGGTACCGGCCACTTCTCGAGTACTGAGGCCGGAATCTCAACCTCATTCTGCTTCTTAGCATCTTCCAGCTTCTGGGCTAACTTTTTCAATCCTTCTATGCCTAGTTCCTGTTTTCTCTTCTCGATCCTCGCTACCTCATCCTCTTTCTGCTTCGTAGCTAACTTCAAAGAAGGCTTTCCAAGTATAGAGACGTGGTGGGCGTCGGCGAGCCATGTTTTGAGGAAAGCCCGCCATTGCTCGTCTGTCCACTTTTCTAGAATGTCGTATTCATCAAGACTTGCGATTTCCTTGAGAGTTGATCCATCCCGGTTACCGAAGAGATAGTCTGAGATAATATTTGTCGAGTAGAATGATTCAGATTCTTCCGCCTGAGCCTTTACTTGTCGCCGTTCTCGCTGAATACACTCTCTCATGTAAGTCATATCCAGCGGCTGAGCTGCAACCTCCTTGAGTAAAGAAATAAGTCGCTGCTCGACAAATTCTAGTTTTTCTGTAGCTACTCCAGTCGGCTGAAGCCAGATGACGCTGTTTGGCCGAGCATCCCACATGTAAGAGATAGAGCTGGCAAGCTCTTCCTTCTCTACCAAAATATTTTCCAGTACTGCGACGGAAGATCCGCATAAGTAAGTTAATAGAATATTTAGGGCAGATGATTGGACAATATCGGTGCAACTTGGCCCAAAGAAACCCACAATCATATCACCTACTGATTCGTCCTCCTCGGGGAACTCGACAGTTTCAACTATTGTCTTCTTGAGAGGGGGTGGTTGTGCGGACTCTATCCATGGTCGTTTGAATGGAGCGTCAAGAGGTGGGAGATCATCTTTGACGCTCTCTTCGAATTGGTCTAGGATAGTAAGAAGATTATCATGGTCAACCTCGCCAACGATGATAATGCACATGTTCCGTGGCTGATACATCTCTCTATGGAAATTGCGTATCCTCTCGGGGGTCAAAACCCGTAGGTTTTCCATCATACCGCCTGTCTCATATCGGAAACCCACATTTTCGGGATAAAGAAGGCGTCGTGCTTTAATATCCATTATCTCCGAGCTTGAATACTGCACTCCTTGCATCTCTGAGTAAACTACACCAGCATCGTTGCCTTCGCCATTAATATGATGGACTTCGGTCAGACACGCTGCATCTGTTATGGTGGGTACGATAAGATGTTCAAGATAGACCGGCAGAATCTGGGCGAACCCTTCCCAACCAGCAGTCTCAAGAGTGTAGGCCGTATGATCTGTCATGGTCCAAGCATTAGTACCCCCGTAAGCTCTAGAGGCTAGCTTGTCTAGTAGCCCCTTGTAGTGGTAACTCTTCGAACCCATGAATACCAGATGTTCGAGGGTATGAGGAGCTCCCGAGTCATCGAAAATTTCAGTGGCCAAGGTGAAGTAGCCATTGACTTTTGGACCCTTTCGGTCGGTCACAATGACCTGCATACCACTTCGTTCAGATTCATACTGGGTGATGGTTGCATGGGCGTAATCCGTTCGGAAGCTTTGAATCTTACGAAATCGTACGCTAGAGTCCTGTGACCCCATCTTGACTTCGCGCGGCTTAAACGAGGCGGCTTGTATGTGGCTACTCAGCTAGTAAGCGTATGTCCAGACTAATAAATAAGAAAAGAAAAAACAAATAGCAAAATGACTACGGATTGGTAAATATAGACATGATAAAAAGATTTCTATAGATGGACAAATATAGGCATATTCGTACTAACGACAGTAAAACCCGTGATGAGGAGTCAAGGTGCGGTCAGGGTACGTCGTCACTGAAGTCCGGCGTCCAGTTAGATGCTGCCTTTTTCGAAAAGTGAGACGCATGTAGTAGAAGAAATTTCCACTACTGCATCAGATTTCTCCGATAACACATTATCCACCCATCCCATATGCACATTGGGATCGATCACATTAAGGTAGGTTTTCATACCCAATATCACCAACCCTCTGGCGGTAGAAGAAGATGATGGTACCAATGATAGCGACTAGAGCAGCTGAGAACGATGCCTTAAGTTGCGCCTGACTGATCATAGTATTATGAATAGTCTGTGTATCCTTACACCCATCTTTTTGTAAGAAACTACCAGATGCGAGGCAATGGATGCTAATAATAACGGTGGCTACCCAGAAGGATTTATGAATGTATTTGAATGGAGTACTTAGTGCTCGACAAGGTCGATCCGGGGAATGCAAATCTCAGATGATAAGAGAGTAAATGTCTCTGACATACCTTGGTGACCTGGGTAACACAGCAGGAAATAACCAATAGGATTGAGGTGAAAACTGGAGTGGCTTTGATCTGAACCAGCTGCAGGTCGAAGTGACCAAATTTCGGGTACCAAATCCTGGTCCGAATCCTGGCGTCAGCTTAATAGATGATGTGATGATGCGGTGTGTCAGGCACGCAGTACTTCCGTATGAATTATTCAGGCATAGGACCGCCAGGTTGTAGGTCATACAAAAGAGGGGAAAGGTAGAAATTGTACAAAGACGAAAAAGCAAATCTAAGATTAAGGATGGGTACAATAACGTTGATGGATGAATGTGATTCTATTGAAAGAGGGTGGAGTTGAGGGTATGAATTTTCTAGATAACTAGAGTGAAAGAGATACGTCAAGGACCTCTCAAGGACTTAAAGAATAGTGCAATTACCTAATTTGCGACTACCTTTTTAAGCTTCCCGATGTTTCTCCTTACTTTGATGAAATCAAATCCCTTTGCTCCTCCTCCTTTCTCTAGTCCTATGAGGTATGTATTAACCCCGCGGCGGGGCTGCAATCGATACAAAGCTGTGTAACAAGCGCAAGTGTTTAAGCGCTAAACGCCAGATAAACGGCCACGGCTGAGTGGGTCTTAACAGTATGACCTATCATAAATGATTACCAGGGTGCTAGCTTGGTAATATGGTCCAAGCTTCATTACAACTTTAGAATGATTTGTCCAATACCAAACTTGACTCCAAACTTGACGTAGCCTTTTCTTCTTGAAGCTATCACGATACGATTTACAAGCTTCGTCTTTATTTGTACAGCTATGCTTCTTAACTATATGCCCAATCTAATTTCCAATAAGAACAAGGATTATATAGAACTACGCGACTAGTACCTCTTCGACATCTAATGATGACTAGTAGCTCTGCTAGCCAGCTCATCATTGTTGTCATCCATGCTGCATAGCTTTCCCTGTTGTTGAACCTTTCAGCACAGGCCCAGGTCGTTTTTTCTTAAAGAACGTTGAAGAGGCTACCTCGCGTACATAGCCATGTCTAGTGAAGAAGGGGGCCAAATTGGCCATGCGCTAGTCGATTTCTCTCTACACGGCATCTTTCCGGATGAAAACATATCATCGCGACGAATTTCAGCGCAAGATCTTGCGCCAGCCTTAGCATCCTTGGAAACAGCCAAGATAAAACTAGAGGTATTCTAATAGCTATCAGATCTGCTCTAATTCAATCACTAATCAAACTACCGTAGTCCGATATCCATAAGATCAACGAAGAGACTGCCCCAGACGTAGACCAATGGATCGCCAATGCGAAATCTCTCGAAGATGATATAAACCGATCGCGAACCTGGGCGAACGATATAGTGCGACGGTCACAAGCACCTGATGTATCGGGTAAAGCGATAGAAGAGGCAGAAGCCAAAGTTAAGTTTCTACAGCAGGAAGTCGAATACAGCCAGCAAGTCAACCTTGCGCTAGGGAGTATCAAGCATGTGAATGAGCTCCTGGACCAGGTTGAACAAGCACGGGACGAGCGTAGAATATTAGATTCTCTTCATCTCTTAGAAAGTAAGAGATTCAGCCTCCCGATATCGTCTGTCGCTAATCAATTCTAGAATCTTGGTCTGGGTTGGACGCAATTCCCATCGGGAAATCCTGCCGTGTCATGAAACTGCTTGACATGAGGGCTTTCGAGTTGAAATCCACGATTCATGATGTTTTCGACCGGGTTTGGGATTCCTTGGTACAAGTAGACCATGAGAACAGAAAGATTGCTGTATTTCAAAGTCATGAAGGTACTTGTCGCAGCCAGATACGTCATGGGCCTTCTAACCCGTTACAGATGAACAGATGAGTCTAGACGATGCTGTTGTAGGTCTGAAGGCGTACAAGGAACTTGATCAAAAGATGACTTCGTTCTGGCATGGCATCGACCAAACCGTAGTCGGTCCACGCACCAATATTGAAGCTCAGGAGCTACCCAAGATCCAATTAGAGGGTGTATGAACCCCCTCGCATCACATTCACGAGATACTAACAGAACATTAGTCGTACTTAACTCTGGGTGGGGCCGCAGATAGATCTACCACTGCTTTATTTTCCGATCTAGACAAAGTGATGACCTATCTATCTGAGCGCTTGCCGGAAGAGTTGGTATACTCTCTATCCAACGTAATGATGCAAGACCTTATCCCTCGACTTATAAGCACTTGGCTAGACATAGCAGTCCCCGCATCCCTGAAAGAAATGGACGAGTTTCAAGATGTTACAGAAGCTACCAAAGCATTTTGCAGCCGCTTACGGGATTTAAAACTCTCTGGGTTCCGAGAGCTACAGGAGTGGGTTGACGATGCTCCGAGGGTGTGGCTGTCTAAATATAAAGAAACTTCACTGGACACTGTTCGTATGAGGCTTTCCCAAGGACTCGGCCAACCAAAGGAAGTAGAACGTATCGAAACTCAAACCGTCACGCGATCCGAAGGCAAAGGATTAGTTGCTAACGGTGTTGGCCCTTCGAACGATGATGATGACTGGGGTGCAGCGTGGGATGATGGAGAGACAGATACCCAAAAAGACGCCAATTTAAAACCCGAGACAAACGAAGATGATGGAACTGATGCATGGGGTTGGGGTGAAGATGACACCGTAGGCGAACAGTCTCAAACGGAGCCGGCAGTTGAAGAAGACCCTGTAGCAGCATGGGGATGGGGTGAAGAGGATACGACAGAAGCAGTCACTGGAGAGCCGACACCGAAACCTCAACCTTCAAGTACACAGACTCGTGAGTTGACGTTAAAAGAAACTTATAATATCTCTTCTATGCCAGAACCAGTCTTGGCACTTGTCTCGGCTATTCTTGAAGATGCAGCCTCACTCGTTGGGTAAGCTCAAGCGTTATACGGACGTAGAATCTTGGTTATCTAACTGAATATTAGGAGCGACGGCAACCCGATGGCATCAACAGCTGGGGGTCTCTTTTCATTGCCAACCCTTGTCCTTGCTATGTTCCGCGCCGTGTCACCATATTACTACACTCTTAATATCGGCGGTAACATGTAGGTGTGCTATCATTATTTATTTCTATAGAAACTCATTCTCGCTCAGGTTTTTGTATAATGACGCGACCTACCTTTCTGAGCGGCTTTCGGACCTCGCTAAGGACTGGAAAACCCGCGAAGATCTAACACCTCGCGCGATCGCGATGCTACGCCTCGACAACGACATCAAGGCGCTCCAGTCTTTCGCGACCCGCGCCTACTCGTCCGAGATGTCTACGCAAAGGACAGTATTGAGGGATTTACTTGGTGGCTCTCAGAATCTTCTCCAGCAAGACGGGCTCGCCACTTCCGACCTAGAAGCACAAGTCGACAGCGCAACCGGGCATGTGCGTGCCCTCGCTGCAACTTGGTCTACTATTCTGTCGAAATCAGCCTGGAGCCAGGCCGTAGGCTCACTAGTCGACACCCTCGCCGCGAAACTTGTTTCGGACGTCATGGACCTAGCAGGCATCGGCCAGGATGAAGCGTATAACATCGCGAGTCTAATCGCGCGCATCACGGAGCTCGACGACCTATTCCTACCTCCGGGGGCACCGAAGGACGCAATCCCCACCACGGCCGAGTATGCTAGCAGTTGGCTAAGGCTCAAGTATCTCAGCGAGGTGCTGCAGAGTAATCTCCAAGACGTGCGGTATTTGTGGATGGAGAGCGAACTTAGTCTTTATTTTTCAGTTGAAGAAGTGGTCGAATTGATCGGCCTGAGTTTTGTGGATAATGCACGGACGAGAGAGATCGTCAAGGAGATCGAGGCACATCCACAACCACTTGGGGCGAGTTGACGGAGAGTGGTTATAGGGCTGTAGCTGAAGTAGATTATACTTACCTCTATAGAGACGTACATAATTAATGCTTCATTCCCGTGCTTCATGTTTTATTCCTCTTAGTTATCGCTTAGTACCTAAGGTAATTTATTTCCTGAATTACTGGCTACCTGTTACGCCGGACTAAATTGTGATGTTTGGTAACGTTTGATGCCATTATCACCGGATAAGTCCCTGTCAAACCCGATCGCACACAACGATCCACAGGCTATGTATCAACTGAATTACCTGGCACCGCTAATCGTGAGCATCGTAAGAGTCACCGCTACTTTGGCCGCGCGTCCACGAGCTGCATAGGCTATCAGAAGAACCGTCAATCCCAGCCGTTCCGCGGATAAAGTGCTTAGTCTATATATGCTCGTCCAACCCAGCGGACATGTCAGCGGCGGGGACGTCAAAAGCTATACCCGAAATTAGGTAAACCCTCCCGTAAGACGACTTTACGGAGAATTGTATTGCTCGTGGGACGACACAATGATCAGTCAACCATGTGGATTGGGTAGAGAAGGCGACCTTTTTACTGCCAACTCGACAGCCTTAGATCCTAAGTAATCGGCGAACCGGAAATCGTACTGCATGGAAGCCGTGAACACGTTAAGATGCAGAGTGGTTCCTGAATCTAGAATCCACGTGGTGAGCCGAAACTCGGTCGAGCTGTTCTTCGCATGAGGAGGGATACACAATTAGCTACCTAACCTATTATACAAACCCATCAATTTTCCGATACCGTACACATCAGCAACCAGCCGAACCCGGGTTTCTTCAAAGAGAGAGATACCACACTCTCTCTCTCTCATACCCACTTCCCAAATAAAATAATTCGCCCCAAGCAAAACCCTACACGCCGAACCGGAACTCCCGGACCTTCTTCTGGTAGTAGAACGTGGCGAGCGCGCCGGCAACCAGCAAGCCGATGGGCACCGGGGCGCGGGCCTTGGTCTTGATGACGCGCGGCACGGCCGAGCCCAGCAGGAGGATGCTGTTTCCTAGTGCGAGCTCCGTGCCGTAGTCCTTGTTGCCCTTTATGAGGTAGCCTGCCAGCCATTAGTATGTAAGTAAGGGGGGTAAGGTAAGAAACACGGAGCCAGGCTAAACCTGCTGTTGTTAAATGGTCTAAAATATTGATATGATTGCCTTAGGTTAGGTAGGCAAGAAATAGAGAAGAGGCAAGACTCGAGTACATAGCTGAGAACATACCAGCAAACGCATAAGAAGCTCCTAGTCCCAGGCCCGCGATAAGCGACGGCCTCGAGCGAGTCTTGACGAATCCAGCAGTTCCGCCAGCGGCAACTATATATCATTAGATTTCAGTTAGCCAGCGCTCTGTCACTTATATCAACTCCCCTCCCCCTCCTCTCATCCAGACATATCGGCACGTGACACTTACGCAAAGCCGCCAATGTAAACGAAGGATGCTCCGCCATCGCAAGACTTCGATAAGTTCTTAACTAACTAGTAGGTTAACCGGGCTTCAATTAATTAATTAGAACAATCCTATGCTGTGTTGAAGACCATCGATTCACGTAGGTAGGTAGGTACTAACTGCACAATTATTACAAAACTTGTAACTAACTACGAGTTAGTTAGATGAAGTTGAAAGTTTCCCCAATGGAAGCGAGTTTACGAACAAACCCCCGAACTTATTCCGCTCGCGATTTAGAGATCCCCCGAGACCGCGAAAGTAGGTATTATCAAGCTCTCCGAGCTCTCGCGCCATTCGAGCTACGGATAATAAAATAAAATAAAATATGCCCCATAATAGGAGGGCCAAGAACTTTAGCAAAGGTTCTTGATTTTTAGTAATAATGATATCCCAAGATTGGGCATATAGAGACGCTTTGTAACTTCTTGGAAGTTAAGAAAAGTGCTCATGATAAGTGTTCTCTAAGCAACTTAAGTTACTTGGTCAAATACAAAGCAATAAGCTTCGTAGTAAAAATAAAAATAGCGATACAGATCACGATGATTTCATATTTCACATATAGCACGTTTGAAACCAGCGAATGGCTTGAATATCCAAAGCCGCAAGCGGTCTCCGGGGTTGATATTTATCTTTCCAACGTATACTCTCCTCTTCTCCCCTTATCACTTATGGTAGGTGGTATGGATAATAGTTCTTATGACGACAATACATCTGCCTGGTAGTATTGGCATCCATCTTGATCTCTCCTGTCCTCGCTCAAACTACCAATTACGCTCTGGCTCAAAAGGCCGTGAAGATACACAATTTCATAACCGCTGGCTTCCACCGACTTTTGGATCGCTGCCGTCTCGCTCAACGAGTTCGGCATGTAAAAAAAACAAGTAAAAGCAAGCTCCGAAGCGGTAGCGAGGGTATATGCTCCGAAGATAAAAATCAAAACTCAACCAACAAACCCATGAACGACCGTATGAAGGGCTAGCCTTTGTCCATAAAGGTTTCAATATGCCCTAAGAGTGACCTCTTCCGTTTCAAAACCCAATAAACGCCGTTGCAATGCAAGATATCCTTCGATATGGCCTTGATACACCGTAGTGTTCTCGACCATCCAGATGAACTGTTAAGATAATAAAAACGACATAACTTAAAGGTCTGTCTTATTAATCGGGGTTGGCAATAAACAATCGCCCACTTGTAAGGGTCATCGTACGCTCGTCCACACTACCCCGGCGTCGAAGGTCCTCTGGGTTCTTGACGCTCTTCTCTCTCGTAAGTGCGGCGTTCATTAGACTATTGCTCGCAAGCTTAGCAGCGCTAACGCTACCGAGTTCGGGTAGAGCATCAGCCTTCTCTGCGCTACTTCCACTTCGAGTGCTCTGCGGTCGCCCCAAATTGTCGTCCCCGGGGGTATATTCGGGGTCCTCGATAACCATGCTGCCTGGGCGTTCCGGGGTATCACCGGGACTCCATCTCTTGCTGCTTTGAGAAGCGCCGGAAGTACGGTACGCGAGGCCTCGTCTGCTGCTGGCAGTACTACTACGCCCGCTGCTACCCGTCCTACGGTGATGCAGGCGGCGCATCGATAGGTCATCCTCGTCGCCGTCTTCACCTTCGACCTCGGTAGCGCTCAATCGCATCGGTACTCCGCTAACTCCCATATAATTGCTGTCGGGTGTGTACCCTACCACGCCCGGCTTGCCGTGATGACGAATCTTAGCGGCAACCTTGCCGCCAGTGCTTCCTATCCCGGTCGAAGTGCGGCTTTGCATTGCACTGCCAGTGACTTCTTGATTGGCCCTTTGTTTCGCCAAACGTTGTTGGGCCAGGAGTCGCGGGTCTTCCGACTGTGACCGGTCGCACCATACGGTGGCTTTTTGCTTTCGAAGCAAAGCGACATAGCTTGTCGGAGGACCGCTGCCTGATCTCGAGGACGTGCTACGTCGAATATCGGCGGTAGGCGACGTTCGGTATGCGGCAGGTGGGGTGTTGCTGGAGGTGGTGCTAAATGTATTGACGGAAGGGGATCGCCGTGTATGGCCCATAGAGGGCTGTGGTTGTTGCAGATGCTGCATTGGAGTGAAGGCTTGTGGGAATACGCTGGAGGAAGACGTTCTTGATCTCGAGTGGGAATAAACTTGAGGAGACGGATCGAGAGATCTCATTCTCATATTATGATCTTGGCCTAACATGGTTGAGAAAGGATTTTCTCCTCTTCTCCCTTTTCGGAATTCCAGTCACAAAAAAAAGCACTGACGATCCAAATTGCTTATTCCTATGGGTCGCTTAGCTAGGCCGGATCGGCGTTGGGTCGGCGGAGGGAGCGATAGGCGTCTATGAAGGTACAGTAGGTAGGCGTTTGATGGAGTCCGTCTAATGAGACATGTATGCAGTCAGACTCTTTGGGGGGCAGTGGGTAGGTATATAGCGGGCGGCTGGTGCTTATAACTTATAATTCGAGTACCGAGATAGTCCGCAACACAATGATGCCTTATGTACTGTTTGAATTATTTTCGAATAGAATAATAATGGTGTGATTGTGGTGGCTTGAAGTGAATAGAAAGAATATCGAGACAAATGATTTGGATATTTAGTAGGTAAGAGTAGGTAGTCAAGGTACCTGGGCAAGTCAACGTTGCATAGGCTGTGCCTTTTGCTGATGTGGATGATGTCCAGTCGCCGGGAGCTGTGTTCAGTTGGTTGGCAGCGCAGGGTACTGAATGGCTGGCTGACACACGTGTGGAATGTGCCAATGAGGGATCTTTTTTTTTTTTCTCGCACACTCCGTTGTCTAGCGTTTTCGAAGTGGGCTGAATTTGTCTTGGGTGGGGGACTGTCGTATCTCTAGCGCTACAGTAGTAGCCGCAAGGACAACAGAGAACTAGTGTAATAAGCTGCTTGAATAAACGAGACGACGACAAGGGACATTCGTGGTTCTTTAAGCAGAGGTAGAGCGCTTCGGCGAATTGGTTTTAGCCTTGGCCTTGCCTTGGCTTTGGCTTTGGCTTTGGCTTTGGCTTTGGTTGTGTACCTTAATAAGAGACTCTTCTCCTCTTTAATACAATAGTAATAACGCCGATATCAAAGTTTCTTGTAGATATAGATACTTTGTTCTTGCTCTTGTGTTTTGTCTTATTTCTTTCTCTTTCGCGTAGTCGAGGGATAACAAAACAAAGTAAGTGTCGATAATTTACGCCGAGTCGGCTTACTTGTCTTATTGTTAAGTATTTTTTTTTTTTTTTTTGCTAGTAGCGACTTGGTTGAGTACCGCCGTAGCGCTTGCAACCGAGTTGCTTACTTCTGAGTGGCGCAAAGCGATAAACAGAGGCGAGAAATGACAGTGGTCGAAGGGAGGGCAATCCTAGCTGAAAACGCTCGATTCGGTGTAGTGCCGAATAGCTTGTCCGCAAGTGTAGCCAATCAGAGTTGGATTTAGAAGCAGGCGGCCTCGTCGGTCGCTAATCACTTCGTAGCCGTTGACGTGATCTCGATATCTTGTTGACGTTTGAAGAAGGGATTGTCCAATGGCGGCGTCAATACGGTCTCGTTGCCGATGTCGATCGCCTCCAAGCTTCCCAGAAAATACGGAAAAGCTGCGCTACGACACATGCAAGGTCAAAACCAAGATCAGGGTTATGATCAGGGTCAAGGTCAAGTTAAGGCTAAGGTGAGGGCAGAAAGACTTATAAATCATAAATCGAGGGAGGGACCTGGCAGTTATATTGAAGGATCCTATAGATGCAGATGTTCGACGATACCCCGGTAGAAATAGAAATGCCTTGGAATCCTTGGAATGAGGAGAGAAGTCTTAGCTGCAAACGAGTACATACATATATGTATGATACATATGTACTGGTATGTATGTAAGTGATTGAAGCGGAGGGCAACCTTGATGACACCTACACTACCGCTTATTTACTTATCATCAACAAGAAGGATAACCTTGAAAAAAGGTCTAAGGGATTCTATGGTTCTATATTCTTCTTCATTCGGTAACAATTGATGGAATCGACCGTTCGTCTCGGTGTTATTGTGGTATCAGCCCATTGCCCACTATCCCATTCAAGGCGGGGAAAAGGGAGCGAGGATCGTGAATGGGATTGTTAGACGTGGATGATGGTAAAATGGGATTCCCCGAAGTTTTTGGTTGTGCGCGTAATTGATTTTTTGATTTTTAGTCATTAATCAATTTTCCCATAGTCTTACAAGGGCTCCCATAGTTCCTACCTGTACCTCCATATTCATACTCATACTCATGCCGCGCTACCGGCCTTATTCGCTTTTGAGAGGTAGTATTTTGCGCAATGTTACGGGAAACTGCAGGCTAGTAGCCCGTACGATAGGTACCTTTTAGGTAGCTTTGGTTCTTCTAGGGCTGTTTAAGGGCTGCTACGGACATTGCGACTGACTGCGATAGGTACTTACGTAGGTACAGATGATTAGGTTAGGTACCAAGCCTATCAATGATATGACTGATGGCCGGTTTGGGATAGTCTTGTAAGTAAGCAGGTAAGATCCCTGTCAGCCCAGCAAAACCCCACACTTACTCTAAACGGTACCGTTGCAGCGTTGCAATCGTCGTCAAACTCCTATCACATCTGTATGTTTATCATGCATTTCCTGGTAGATACCCTGTAGCAAACATACTCAAGTTTGCTTAACGTTAACTACCTAGGTAATTCACATTGAATATGTTCGGTAGGTGACATGAACACGACGAATAGTGACGAAATATCTTCCAGCACATCCGTTATGCTCGGCGAATTTGCAATTGGCCTGGGACTATTAGACTAACAAGACTAGGTACACTAAGAAGGCCTAGCTATCTACAGTAGCTAGCACCGATAGCTGGAGCTCCTAGTGAAACGCTGTGACTCCCAGGAACAATAAAGCTGGATAGAGTCATAGACAGACTATGATGTCGAAGCCTTATCCACTTTCGCATTGACCGACGGCCTAATTGCATGGATACCTTTTTTTTTCTTCCTTCCCAATTTACCTTCGGCTTCGCAAACAATGACAGATGCCAAGAATTTCTCGGTAGAAAGCGAGACGCCAATTCGACTACACGAGAATTGTCTCTTTCTCTTTCTCTTTCGATATATACCACTATAGCATAGAAGTTAAAGGAGAGGCAAGAAAAAGAAAGCTCTAAAATACCCTCGGGTTGTTTACAAGCTAGATGATGTGACCTAGAAGACTTTTGGCACAATCGTGGGGCGACAGACAAATACAAGTGGAGAGAGCAAGGCAGAATCGGATATAATATTTAATGTCGTTTGTCGTTATTGTTCA